TGAAGCGACCCCTTCGAGTTCGGAGAGGATGAGGTTCTGTCTTCCCCACACTCTCACTCGGCCCCTCCTCCCCACGTCACCTTTCCCTGACTCTAGAACCCCCTGGCCAGGATCACCACCCACACACGTGTGCCATGTCCCACACGGGCCCCTGGTTGGCTCGGTGACTACTGTGACAGGTCCTCTCCAGGCTCACTGCCATCACTCTCCTCTTCCTCAGCCCTGGTTACCCCGACCCAGCACTTGGAAAGAGAAGGCGATCTGAGAAGGTTCTGGAGGGGGCAGGACAGAGAATGGGAAATGACAGAGCTGCAGGCAGTCCTGGAAAACATTTAGTCCAACCCTTTCATTTTACAGATGGGGAAACTGAGGCCAATTCAGGGAAAGTGGCCTGCCCAACACTCCATTGGGTTGCCTGCATGGCAGAGTGGAGACTTGAACCCAGGTCCTCTGTCTCAATGCCACCACTGCTGCCTGGTGATAAAGACCCTTGGCTATTGAAAGAACAGAGTCTCGGGAGAACCTGCCCCAGTTATATTGAAGACACTAGGTCGGGGCCGGGGATGAAGAAGTAACAGAGCACAGTCCCTGCCCTCAAGGGGCTTACGGAATGGGGGACTCGATGGCATGGGTGGGCCACAGGAAGACCTTGAGGAAAGCCAGGGCCTTCAGCAACTACAGGGTGAGGGAGGTGGAGGGTAGGGAAAAGGCCAATCCAGATATGGGGATGTTGCCAGCCCTGGAGTTATGGGACGGCCCTGGCCTGTCTCTATAGAAGGTGGCCTGCATCCACTCTGGGCCTGGAGCCAGGCTCCAGAGACACGCAAAGCATTCCCAATGCAGTCACGAAGGCTTCCCTTATGTTCTTGGGGGGAGTCCCAAGATTGCAGACCATGGGCCAATCCCTTTCCCAGGGCCAAGGTTATGATAAAAAATCACTCAGGCCTTCTCCAACGCTGAGAGGCCCTGGGATGTCTAGGGTTCTGAGGGAGAATCCCAGCTGGGACGGGCCTTAGAGGCATCTTGTCCAGACTGGCCATCCAGCCTCTACCTGGAGCCCTCCAATGACGGAGAGCTCATCACCTACCAAGGCAGTACTTCAGACTTTTGGATGCTCTCCCACTGTGAGGAAGGTTTGTTTGTTTTGTTTTGTTTTTTCCCTCATGCACGCCCTGAATGTGCCTCTCTCTGCACCTTCCCCCTTCTCACATTTTTCTGAGGAGCCAAGCAGAATGAGTCCATAAAAAATGTCTTTGTACTTCAAGGATCTCCAGTGTTGCCGGTATGAGTACTCTCTCTGTGGACTCAGATTTTGACCAGTCACTGATTTAGGAAAACCTCTCTGAAAGTTGTTATAGTTGGGGGAAGATCTACCTTTACCTCAACTCCGCCTGAATTCATGCTAGGCTGAGCCTTGCAAGACAGACACACAGTACACTACGAAGCCCCTGCTGGAAACCTTCCCTGCCCTTCCCTAGAATCCCTCCATGCCACGTGAAGAGGGGCAGCCGGGAGGATGGTGAAGGGGTGGCCCACTCCCTTTTGGCCATCCCCTGAGTCATCAGTCAAGTGAGGGACTTTCAGCCATCTCAGGACTGTGGCACAGAGAGTCAGCCACCATCCTCAAAGCCAGGAGGACTAGATCCAAACTCTTGGTTGTTTAAATAAATAGTATCAGTTACTATTAATGGTAATACTTTAAGCTTTCCAGGGTGTTTCCCTCCCAAATAACTTTGTGAGATAGCGACAAAAGGTCTTATCATCCCTATTTTACTGATGAGGAAACAGTTTCCAAGGTGAAGTGATTTGCCCGGCATCACAGAGCTAAGTCCTGGAGCTGAAGCTCGAACGCAGGTCTTCTGCCTACAAACCAGAGGCTCTTTCCTTGTGCCAACAGCAGGAGATGAGAAAACAGACCCAGGGATGTCCAGTAACTTTAAATCTGACAGGCTTTTCATTCTCTCATAATCGATAAAGGGCAGATGACAAAGTCCTCAGCCTGGCCTTGGGAGGTCTCCATACCCGGGCTCCTTTCCTTTCCAGTCTTATTTCGCTCTTTTCCAATGCACACACTCCATATTCCTAGTAAACTGACCTGTGGGCTGCTCTTCCCATCATTTGGCCGGCAGTTCCTTCAGCCAAGGAAAACGAGCTAATTAAACTTCAAGGGACAAGGAACAGAATGGCCCATCAGGAGATGTAAGAGCAAATACAAGGAGAGATAGGAGAGGATTCCTGCCAGCCCCATGACCTGCATCCTGGACTCCTCCAGGAACTGGCAGGGCTACTTTCTGAGGCCCTGCCAGTGACCCATAAAAGATATTGGAGAAAAGCGCCATCAGATTGGAGGAAGGCCAGTGTTTTCCCAGTTTTCAATAAAAGGAAGTGATTGGAGTCTGCAGAAGCTGGGCCAGTGGGCTTGATGATTCTAGAATGCATCATTAAAGGGATGGTCGGTGAGCCTCTCTAAAGCAGTCTTTGGAAAGAGTGAGCCTGGGGCTTCATCCACACTGATCTGGGATCTTGTGAAACCGTAGGGAGGCATTAGGGGTCTTGGAGCTGCATCCTGAATGGGAAACTGGCCCCCCAGCTCCAGGCAGTCGGGAAGGAAGCCAGGGACTGGAACATCTGAGGAGGTGACCTGGGGGCCTTCTGGAGGAGCTCTCAAGCTTTACTTTGGAGGGAGGACAATTTCAAGGCTGGCCATCGGATTGGATTGCGCCTCCACCGAGCTCCTCCTCCAAACCTCCTGGTGGTGAGGGGCTGACCCTGGGATCTTAGCCTCGGGCTGAGAGGCTGAGAGCCTAGCACAATCTTTCTGGCATGCCGCTGGCTGTCGTCCCTCTGAAGTCCATTTAACGCCGTTTCCAGGAATACTTGCTTTGCAGGAGCAGTCAAGGCATGCGTAAATATTTGCTGCCCATTGTATACAGCCTGGGGGCTGGTATTTTCCTTGGCAAGCCCTTAAAGTGAACGTGGCTTAGACAGGGAGCCGGGGGCGCCTTTCATTAAACAGGTCTCCAAGGAGGCAGGAGGCAAGTTACTTTGTGCCTGGGGCAGATTCCAAGGCATTCGCTGCGGTTTCTGTACGTGGTCTATTCTAGGAAATCCCTGTGTCTGTAGCCGATGGCTGATTGGTGTAGTCCTACCCAGAGCAAGACCAGGGGCACAGGTTTGGTCCAGTCCAGGCCTGGTTTTCTCCTGTCCCTCAGCCTCATCCCAGCCCCAGGCATTCCCCAAATATTTCCTGGTGCTCCACGGGATGACAGGACCCAAGCGTACGATGCTTTAGGGTGCCTGTGAATACAGTGATGATAGAGACAGCTCTGTAGAGCCCATTGAGGGCTGGATTTAGGGTCGGGAAGACCTGTCTTCTACTCCTAACTATTTCTTCCGAGCCAGGTAGTCAAGCCTCAGGGTTGTGGCCTCAGAGAAAGTGCTTATCTTCCTTCGAGGCGAACTTTCCTGAGAGCTCCAAGCGGCAGAGGATAGCTCCCTTTTGCCATCCTATCACCCTTGCCTAGTACAATTCCTGGTGCCCAGTGGGTGCTTTTAAAATATCTGCTTCCTTCAATGTCACTCTGGGTCCCAAGCTTTTGTGACAATTCAGTGGTGCTGCTGATGGTGGTGGTGGTGGCGGCAGTGGTATTAATAACAATAATAAGATCATTACAAAGTGCTGATCGTCCGTAGGAGATGAAATTTTTCTCATTACAGAGTTCTCTCTGCCAGTGAAATCACGGCCCCCATCCCTACCCCTGTCCCCAGCAATAACAGCGATGATCATGACAACTCCCAATTCTTTACCACCTACAAAACAATTGTGCTATGAAGGAGGTAGTGGAGTCGTTGTCCTCATTTGACAGATTAGGAAACCGAGGGGCAAGGGGCTTGCCAACTTTGATACATTTCTCCCTCCCCAGAAGAGAACATTAGTTTATATTAACAAAAACTGTGTGAGGGAGGAAGGATTAGGGCAGAACCAAGAGAGTGGGAAGGAGGAACAGAGAGGCAGAGCTAGGCTGCTGTTAGGGAAAGGAACTAAGAATGAGCTCTCCAAAATGGACCCCTGCAATAGGTAGTGAGCTCCCCGTCCCTGGAGGTCATCGAGTGACTGCTTACCTGTTTCCTGGAGAATTCTTGCTCAGCTCTAAGTGGACCTAGAGGCCTCTGATTTTGTGAAAGACTTTGCTATGCTGAAGGACAATCTCAATGCTGACTTTTTTTTTTCTTTTGGTGAGGCAGTTGGGGTTAAGTGACTTGCCCAGGGTCGCACAGTTGTAAGTGTCAAGTGTCTGGTCTGAGGCCAGATTTGAACTCAGGTCCTCCAGACTCCAGGCCCAGTGCGCTATCCACTAGCTGCCCCTAATGCTGACTTCACCAAGGTCCTCCTTTAATACCTTCTTGGGTGGTAAGGCCCATCCTGGTACCAGGAGGCCTTAACAAGCTGGGGAAGCCCAGGGGTAGAGGACCAGCTGAGCTCATTGATCAATCATTCAGTCAGTCAAGTATTTATTAAATGCCTACTATGTGCCAGGTTCTGAGATAGGCATTAGACAGACTTCAAGGAGCTCACATTCTAATTCCAATATGCACATGTATCAGGAGGTACCCAATCATATAAAAGCCCGGTCATTTGATCGGGCAGCTAGCAGCGGGGGGATCGGGAGAGGCCTGCTGTAGGACAGAGAGGAGGAGGGAGAGGATTCTAGAAATGGGGGACAGATTCCTCCACATAGGAAAGACCGGTGAGCTGTATCAGTCATGTGACCTCAGGCCTCAGTTTCCCCCTATGTAAATGAGAGGGTTTCCAAGGAGCCTGCCAGATCTTGACCTACGATCCTGTCACAGTGCCTGGCACACAGTAGGTGCTTCGTAAATGTGTATTGAATATCACCTGCTTCCAGGCGCAGTATCTGGAGGATGGAGAGCTTGGGGAGGGGCCGCTGATGCTGGGAAGGGATGGACACCGTAGATTCTCTTCTCTCTCACTGTTTCAGGTCATTTCCTAGGGAACAACACGGTGATTGACGTCCTGCGCCAGGCTGGGTTCGAGGTGGAGCACACCCCACCAGGGAAAGCTGTGCACAGGTGAGATGCCTTTGTCTCCTCTTCCTGGGGTTCCCACGGTTGCTAGTGCTAACTGCCCTCCCATGAGCTCTGGCCAGCCCATGAGATGGAGGATGATAAGAGGGGGGATGCTGGGTGACCCTACTCTGCGTCTGCTGTGATGGAAGGCCTGGGGAGCAGAGGGGGCAGCACCTGCCAGAACCTCAGTGTTTAGACCAACAGTGAGCTCCCACCTCAGCCACTGGTCCCCTGAGCATGAGGTCCTTGTCCACTGACCATTGGGATGACCTGCCTTGTCCACATCTCGACATTCTTGAAAGAAATGAAAGCCAGAGACAGAAAGAATTTGCAGCTCAGTGAAAGGGAGGATCCAGGTCATCCTTGGAAAAGCAAGGCAAGGAATGAGTGGACTTGGGTTCACCATTTGCCCAAAGATGATAGGAAACATCCCTTCCTGGGGCCTTTTGTCCTCCTGTATCAAAGCACTGGTTCAAATCAGCCAGTGGCCAGAAGGCCCCCGTTGGTGGCCTGTGCACTGCACTGCTGTCCAGAGAATGACTCCGGCCCAGATGGAAGGACTGGGACAGGAGCCGGAGAAGGGGAAGGCGCCAGAGGGGTGGACTTTCTGCTCTTCCAGGGAATGACTCCGTGGATGAGATTCAGTCGGTCATTGCTTACGCTTTTATGAAATGCCTTCTATGTCCCAGGCACTGGGCTAGGAGCGCTGGACATAGACAGAAGTGGAAAAAAAAAACCCAGCCCTTTTTCCAAGAAGTATTTACAGGTGAGGACCCTCCCTCTCAGAGACGTTGAGTGACTTGCCTGTGGTCACACAGCTAGTAAGAGTTGGACACAGAATATGAACCCAGGCGTCCAGTCTAGGCTGCAAGATGTTACGCCTTCTGACAAAGTGAGGAAATCCCAGGGGTTCACGGGGAAATGACTTGACCAGCAACACACAGTAAGTCACTTCCAGAGCTAGGACTTCAACTCAATTCACTGTAATAAATACCTGCTGATTGATTCATTCAACTCAATAAGCACTTAAGTGAATGAAGGGAGGAAAAATCATTTATTAATTATTAATCCATTATTATGTGCCAGATGCCGTACTAAGTCCCAGGGATACAAATACAAGTAAAAAAAAACAGGTCCTGCCTTCTGGGAGCTTATATTCTAAAGAGGAGAAGAGAAGAGCCCATGAAAGGGAGTTAGGATCGGAAGGTGGGGTGCCAGAGTGGAGGGAGGGGTGGCCTGGTTTGGAGTAGTCTGGGCAGTGATCTATGGGCCTGGCTGAGGCAAGCTAGGGCGAGGGCTCGGCATTCAGAGCCCAGGATTCAATAGGCCATGATGTAACAGCTCTGGTGGGAGGGGGAGGCTGGTGTGGGGCAGTGCAGCTTGGAGCTAGCCAAGAACTCCTGAGAGAAGTGCTGAGGGTATGGCGACAAATAAGAAGCTATCCCTGCCCTCCAGGAGTTTCCACCGTACCAGGTGGAGTATAAGTAAATGAACATACAAAGAATTACAAGTCATTTCAAGAGAGAGACAGAGTGAACTAAGACCTGAGAGGGATGAAGGAAGGCCCCCCTCCTCCCCATAGGAGGGGGCAGCTGTGTTGAACCTCATCGGGAAGCAAGCATTCTAAGAAATGGAGCTGGAGGTGGGCCGTATTCCAGGCAAGGATGGCGGGCCAACGAGACGGGAGTACATCTATGGGGAACAGCCCTATATCCCCTCCCCCCACACACACACCCGTGAAACACTGGAAGGAGATGTAAGATCATGATTGTCAGCGTTCAGTGCATGGAGCAGGTGAGGCAGTCAGTCAACAAACATATATTGACCACACCAATTGATCCTCTATAAGTTGTCATAAAGGCAACCTGCTAAGACTCATCTCTTCTTCCCACTTGTCCCTTTACAAACAGTGTTCTATGTTGGTTCTGAAGGATTAAGGTTACTGACCATGGATGGGGCCAGTGGTGAGAACAAGGAAGGCTTCATGGAGGAGGTAGCTTTTAAGTCTGGTTTTAAAAATAATGGTAAGAATTCAGCACACAGTAGGGGGGTCGCAGGAGGACAATCAGACACAGGGAACAGTGTGGCCAAAGGCCCGGTGATAGGAAACCAAATGGCATACTGTTTGGCTGGACCTTAGCGTAGGTGGAGAGAAGTTATGTGTGTCTGGAACCAGACCATGAAGGGCCTTGAATGCCAAGGAAGGGGACAATGGGAATCCACAAGAGGTTTCTGAGCAGAGGATGACTGACACAGGTGAATTCAGCCCAGCAGTGGGTGAAGGATGGATTGGAGGGGAGAGAGTGAAAGCAGACTCACCTGGCAGGAGGTGGGACTGGGGTCCGTGCTAGTGGTGATGAGGGCCTGTAGTCAGGGGTTGTGGGAGGGAGGGAGAGGGAGGAAAGGATGTTTGCTAAAAGAAACCATAACTCCCAGGGGCGTTGTGAGAACAGGACTTTGTAGTGTCCCCAGAAGGGGAGCTGTCAACTTGTGCAGAGGATGCAAGTGTTTGCAAACTTGTTTTCTCTAAGTCACTCACTTAATATACTCAGCATGTATTAAGCACCTACTGTGTGCCAGGGCAACAAAGACAGGTGTGAAATAATCGCTGCCCTCAAGAAGTTTATACTCTGAGGGCAATATACCATCACCCCCGTTTGACAGATGAAGCCCAGAGAGGGTAGAATACTGGAGCAGGGTCACCCAGCCCAGTAAGTAGCACAGCCTAGATTTCAAACCTGGCCGCCTCTGACTTGTGCTCCCGTGGGAAGAGGGTTGGATTTGGTGTTGGAGGACCTGAGTTCAAATGCTCCCTCTGTGACATCCTGTGTGACCTTGGACAATTTGCCTCCCCTCTCTGGGCCTCAGTTTCTTTATCTGTAAAATAATGGCGTGGGATTAAATGGTTTCTGAAGTTCCTTTAAGCTCTAAATCTGTGGTCCTCCATCGCTCCAGTTCCCCCACCCCCATTTTCCACGCTCCCCAATTCACAGACACCCCCTGTCCACAGAACGGTTTTCAAAGGGGCAGGGCCAGAGGAGTGGCTGGCTGCAGAGCCTTCTCTGCCCTTCCCCCTCCCCTGGAAATTCTCTTTGTCCCTATTCCTGGAGCACCACTGCCCCACAGCAGCCAGGCTGTGGCCTGAGGCCCCCTCTCCTCCTCCAAGATTCCTCTCCCCCAATGGCTTGGCAGGGGCCAGGCCCCCGCAGTGCTCGGGCCCAAGCCTGGACTGCGCAGCCAGTAATAGGCTGCGTTCTGCCGGGAGCGGAGGGGCCAGGAAGGATTCTGGGAAGCCCGGAACAATACAGGGCTATTGGTGGGCACAGGTGTTGCTAGAGCTGCTCCTTTTGTCCAGAGGCTTTGAATTAGGGCCCCGGCAGCTGCCCACCATCGCCGGCCTTGGCTGGCAAAGCCTGGGGGGCCGGAGATGGGAAGGAAGAATTCATACTCCATTTCTTTTAAAAAGAGACACAGACTACTAGGGCAGGGGGAGGTCAGGAACTGAGGCTCTTGAGGAGGAGCTCAGATCAACCCTCCTGGGGCTTCCAGGTTAGATTTAGAGATCAAATAGACCTTCAAGATGTCCCTCCCTGCCCAACACCTTCATTTTTCAAAGGAAGAAACTGAGGCACAGAGAGGTATAATTTTTCCCTGGTCACACAGGTGTTAAGCCCTCTTGGGGTCTTGCAAGCTCAGTATGAGCCTGCCAACAGTGGTGACCAAGACAGCTAAGGGGACCCTGGGCTGCACTGACCATCATCGTGTGGGGGGCGGTCCTGGACCAGGGCCAAAGGCTGCCTTGCTTAGGACACAGCCAGAGACCCAGGTGCAGCTGCTGGCATCCCAGTGTAGAGATAACCTGGGAGGGGGCCTTCTCTATCACTGGGTCTGACTCCCTCACTGTTATAACTCAAATGGGGAAACTGAGGCACAGAGGGGAAAGGATTTGAATAGGTTATAAAATAACTCAGGGGTGGAGATGGAGAGAAAGCCTGTGTCTCCATCTCCCAGGCAGAGTTCTTCTCTATCTCTGTGACTTTGCGTGTCTTTGCATGTACCTGTCTGACTCTATTCTGTATCTGTGTCTTATGGACACATGTGCCCTGCGCTCTTTGTCTCCGTCTCTCAACTTCTGCCTCTTTCTTCTTCTTTCAGTGCGTCTGTCCCTCTTGGTCCCCCCCATGCATGCACACACACATGCATGTGCATATACACACACACACACATGCACACATGCACAGGTTGTAGAGGAAATTCCCAGACTGGATAGCTTAGATAGACCCCCTCAGAAGTCCTGTGCAGATCTGTTTCTGTATTTCATCCTTCTCCTTATTCTTAGAAACCACAAACCCTGATTTGGGCCTCAGTCTCCTCACCTGTAAAATGAGGGGTTTGACTAGAAGGCCTTTGAGGACCCCTCTAACTCCTGAGCTCTGAGCCTCCACGGCCACCTGTCTTCCTCTTGTGATCTCTCCCAACATGTGTCCAGTGAGCTGGACTTGCCTGGGGCCCAGAGATGCAGGAGGAAGATGCTGGCCATGACTCCTGGCTCAGTCCCACCAGCCTCCTCTGCCAGGCTGGAACGCTGGCTTTCTGCTGGGGGGGGGAAGAGAACAGGACCAAACAACTGAGCCTCCCTCATCCCCTGGAACTGGAGAAACTGTGGGAGTGAGCTAGCCACCAAGGGCTGGAAAGCAAGAGCAGCCTGCAGCATGGAGTGAGTAGCAGCAAAGTACAGTGGAAGGTATTCAGATCCCATCTCCATGGTTCCAGCTCCCTCTCAGCTCTGACATTCCCAGTTCTCAGACCCCTCCCTGCCCTGACATCTCCTGTTCTAAGCTCCTTCCCAGCCCGGAAGCTCCCTGTTCTAAGATCCCTCCCAGCCCTGACACTCTGTGTTCCAAGGGCCCTTGCAGCTCTGATGTTCTCTGGGACCATAAGTCCAGAAGCATCTGTCCCATGCTCCTGCAGTGGGGGGTGAGGCTTGCCAGGGGCACAGCTGG